AGGGCTGCACCCAAGATGAACCAAAATGGTCCCAAAATGCACGAGCGCTCACGGGGTCTCTCACTGTGATCAGTTCTGCTCCATTTGCAGATTGCAGTTCATTGTCCAATTCCAGCTTTAGCCCATGCAGTCCCATCCTGCTTGTTTTTCTCTCTTCATTCTGCCATTGTTTATACTCTTGGGGCTGAGATTTGGATCATTTGTCCTTGGTCCCCAGCTAGAGCAGGAATTGTTTTGTCTCCCTGCTCTGTGCAGAGAGCTCACCATCCCCTGATATGAAGCTCAGAACTGCACACTAAAGCAGCTCAGAATGTGAAAAACATAAAAGCTAAACCTGAGGCATCACACGCCACCTGGCCTTGGCCACTTCCAGGGATCCAGGAGCAGCCACACCTTCTCCAGGCATCCTGTTTTTTCATCTGTAGAATCCTGGAATGGTTTGGGTTAAATCCTAAAGACCATCCAGTTCCTGCCCCTGCCATGGGCAGAGACAACTTCCACTCCCCCAGCAGCTCAGGGCTGCTGTGCAAACCTGGCAGCCAAGACCTGACATTTTTGACACAGAATGGGCAGCATGAGCTTGCCAGCAGGAGCAACACACAGGAACAGCTTGAGGAGGAGGAAATGATGTGCAAAGAACTTGGTCAATTTAACTCTCCTATTTTCAATTGAACTCTCAAATTTTCAACACTTTAGAGCAGTGGGTCCTGTCTGTGCCCTCACTTCCAAAAGCAAAGAGCTGCTTTTACAGTCTCCCTGGCCTGAACAAACCACAGTGGTGTTGAACAGCCTTTCCATGAGGAGTCACACAAATTTACTTGTTGGGACAGAAATGGACTGGTTGCTCAGCTGGAACAAGCCATGCACTGAAATCTCCTGGGATTTGGCAGAGCACAGGATCCAAACAGTCCAGTGATAAATAATCAGCTCTTTCCTCCTTCAAGCTGCCTGTTGCCCTGCTAGCAGCCAGAGATAATCATGGAGGGAGGGGGAAATGCAGCAAACACCCCCTAAGGCTTTCCATAATGTCCCTGCACTGACCAGGCACACAGTCACATCCCTGCTCCCAAAAGCCAGGGGACAGTGGTCCCCAAAGACATGCCAGGGCCTGGCAGTCCCCACAACCTCATCATATCACCCCCAGCTCCCTGACAAGGCAGCTCCTGCATTTCTCCACCCAGCAGATGGGGTGATGATACCTTCTCACAAGGGATTCCCAGGCAGAGTTAATTCACATTTTCAAAGCACCCATGGACTCTTCCTGCAAGTGCAAAAGTCTCGATGCCAAATAAAACCAACCTCATTCCTCAACCTTTCCCTTTCCTGGTGTTACTGTCCTTATGACAATGGCCTTAATAAATATCTTTTCCCACTGATTTTGCAGGTGTTTTTATTTCTTTCACCAGCACCGTTGCATTTTTACTGATCTTGCAGAGCACTTCATATCTGTGTATTCCTTAGGATTTTTCACATTACTTAATTCCTTGCCTTTGTTTGGGGAGGGGGTGGGAAAGAAAGAAAGAAAATTGACAAGGGTGAGGAATGATGCTCTGCTGACTCCACAAGAGACAAGAGATACCTCACTCATCTCGGGGGTCAAATGTCCATGATGGTTTGATCAGATGTCAGCTTGCATTTATACCCTGGCCTCTGCTGGAGGTTGAATTACATTTCACATTTGACTCACTTCTGGGGTCAAATGTCCCTCCTATTTGATGGAACAAGAGGAATTATTTTCCCCAAGCAGGTTGTGCTGGTGTGAGCTGTCAGTGCTCTCATTATGTTTTAGGCTCCTTTATTTCTGCATTTTGTCCTCAGCTGAGTCCAACCCCTCTGGGATGACAAGAGCTGCAGCCATGGCACAAAAGCCATCCCAACAAGGAGGATCAGGGGAAGGAAGAGGGCACCTGGCTTGCATATGTTTGGATGGTGTTTTGTGGGGGTTTTGCATGGGTTTTGTTGTGGGGTTTTGTTTCTCCTTCCCCTCAAGCTGGCAGCTAGGCAGGGAATGATTAAGGAGAGGCAGGAAGACCCTGATCCTGGCTATACCACACTCCTGTCATGAGAAACTGCAGAAACCCAGAAAAGTTTGGGTTGGAAGAGACCTTAAACCTCATCCCATTCCACCCCCCTGCCATGGCAGGGACACCTTCCACTGTCCCAGGGTGCTCCAAGACCCATCCAGCCTGGCTCTGGACTTCCAGGGATCTAGGGACAGCCACAGCTGCTCTGGGCACCCTGTGCCAGGGCCTCACAGGGGAAAATTTCTCCCCATTACACCACCTAACCCTGCTCTCTGGCAGTGGGAGCCATTCCCTGTGTCCTGTCCCTCCATCCCTTGTCCCCAGTCCCTCTCCAGCTCTCCTGGAACCCTGCAAGGGGCTCTGAGCTCTGCCTGGAGCCTTCTCCCCTGGGCTGAACAGAACTTCCTTAGGATCAAAAACCAGACACGAGGCTGAGACAAAGCTGCTGTCAGGGAGCTGCAGGATCAAAAACCCCAACCCACCAGGCTCATCTACTGCAGTGTGATGTTCCAGCCCTGAGTGTGTACAATTTGCCTGTGTCTTGAAGGAACCCAAGGGCTGTTGGATGCCCCTCATGGGCTGTAAAGGAATCTGGTGGTTCAGCAGCCTCTGAGGCGAGATTGTGAAACCCCCTCCTGCTGTTTAATGCACTCCTTCGGGTTACAACAGGTTTAGCAAACAATAAAAACCATCTGGAACCCCCATTTAAATAACAGAGTTGTATTATTAGTGCTGAAGTCATGGCTGGGGCTGTAAAACCAGTAAACAAGTGCTGATGTGCAGGTAAATAAAGGGAGATGGTGCACTAAGGAGGGTGAGGAGGAAGCTGCTCCTCATCCTCCTTGGCCAAAGCTCATGCTGGGTGTGAACCCACTTCCCTGCAGGGCATGAACTGGGATCCTCACCTTCCCTCCCAGTTGCACTCCTGCCACCCCAGATGAGGTTATGGGGGTCACTGCAGCCTCCCACAGAGCCCAGGTGCCCCCTGCACCCTTGTACTCCCAGCTCCCCTCTGACTGTCCAAACCAGCTCAGGGAGGGAACTGGGGGTGCCAAACAAGGCAAAGGTCCCCATTTATTTTCCATGTTACTCTCTGCAGTGCTTTTGTTGGTGCAGAAAGAGCAGCACAGCCCCTGTGCACGAAGCCATCCCTGCACTGGGGGGTTCCTGCTCTCCTCTGCCAGGGAAAGAACTTTCCTCCCTTTCCACCCTTAACTGCTACTCCAAAATGGGAAATAGCAAGTAAACAGAGAGCAAATGAAGAGTGAACTCCTGTTGCCCAAGTTACAGGGATCTAAGCTGGTTTGGTTGATCCTTCTCCAGGATCAAACTCAGGGCATGACTCCTCCAACACCTGGTAATCCCTGCCTTCCTTTGGGGGCCAACCCTCCTCCTTGAGGTGCAGCAAAGCATTCCCAGCCCCACAGCAGCCCTGCTGACCTCCCTCTCATGGCCACCCTTGAGGGAAATGGGATGAGATAGGTGCTAAGCAGGAAACACCAATGGTTCATGCTGGCCATAACTCTGCCCAAATCCAGTCTGGTCCTGCAGGCACATCGTGGCCAGGGACTGGGGCTAGTCCCTGTGCCAGCACTGCAAGCCCTTCCCAGTGAAATCCTTGTCCCCTGGCAGGTTTTAAAGGCAAAGGATCTACAACAACTGCCCTGTGATCATCCACAACCTGTGGCTCTGCACAGCTGGGGGACAGGGCCAACCCCTGGATGGGGCACTCAGGGATCACCTCATTCTTTCCCGTATTTACTCACCCCCTGGCAATTCCTGGCTCTAATGATCAACCCCATGCTGTTGTTGGTTGAACACATATTTGTTTCTGCTGAATCACTCAGCAGCACAAAGTTTGCTGTTCCTTCCCCACCCTGGAATTCCTCCTCATGCAGGAACAGCCTCTCCCCACGCCACGGTGGGGACAGCTTCCAGTACCAGCTGCCAGAGCCAGAGCAGGAACAGCTCTCCTGAGCCATGAGCCAATGCACTGCTGTGCCCCAAGGAGGCAAACCACAGGATTTCATCCCATTCCCAGTGTAATATGGACAGCGTTTAACCCCTGCTGCCATTGGAGCACCCTGCATATAATCCATAGTTATGTCCCAAACCTCAGGGACACACTGTGGGGCTGGGTCTGTGGTCAACAAAACAGCACAACATAACCAAAAATGGGATTCTGGGACATGTCAGCAAGGATCTGCCACCTTCCCTCTGAGGCTGCATGTGATGAGGTGCTTTGTGCTGAGGATGCAGCACCTCTAACCCTACCAGGCCACCCCTGAGGGGTTCACAGGGGACCAGCTCTCATCTCCAGGTTAGGAGGACAGAAAAGCATGTGCTGAAGTCCTCCTGTCCCAGCAGGACCTAAATATGGGCTTAACTTTAACTTTATAGAATCACAGAACTGGGTTGGAAGTTCACCTTAAAGGTCATGTTCCAACCCACACACAGGTTTAGGACCCCACTCCATGTTTTCTCCATGTGTATCCAAGCCCAGAGAAGGCTCAGGCATCTGCAAGACATGAACACTTCTATTCTGGTGCCCCACATGTGGGTTTCTAGCTCCAAAACAGGAACCCTTTGATTCCTTTTTCTCCCCTGTTAATCTATTTAGCTACAGGAAACACTCCACATGAGGGAAGGAGACACCTGAACAGCACACAATACTTGGAAACTTCACTGTGTCCAGAAACACCAAATGCACCTTCATGTGGAATGAGGGATGCTGAGGCAAAGCTTTTCAGCAAAGCTTTTCAGCAGAGCCAGGCTCCAGTGACAGGCAGCAGCACCAGGATGAAAATGCATCCCAACCCCTGCACCAAGGGCTGCATCTGCTGCTCCTTGGCAGCAGCTGGGCTCTGACCTCCTCCATGGACACTCCTGATATCCCAGGAGGGCAGATTTACAGACAGCTCCAAGAATTTGTGCTTTAGTCCCCTAAAAATCTCACCCCAGCAAAAGAACACTTACCTGATTGGCCGATAGAAACTCCTGGGCGTTGTCGTTCATCCCCATGTACATGTTCTCCCCATCAAACTAGAAAGGCAAAAGAAAGAGTTAATAAAATGCCGTCTGCACACCATGCTGCTGTGCATCCCAAATACCTTCCTGGCTCTTCACATCAAGAGCCAGAATTCCCAGAGGAAAACACCGAGCTGCTGTTTGAACACTTTTGAGAGGGTATGAGCACACCTTCATCCCAGTTATTGCAATGGGATATGCTGGCATGGCATGGATATGGGATTTTTTCAGTGAAATAAGGAATTAATCACTCCAATTCAAAGAAATAACTCAAATGTGTAAACCCACAGATGCACCCTGCAGCAAAGATGACCCAAAAGAAGCTGTTGCTAAAATTCCTTCTAGACCATCAATCTGATATTAAAAAAGCAAAGTTCCATCAATGGAAATGTCCAGGCTTGGGCAGGTCCCATTCAATCCTCTTTCAGACCTCAACACCAAAACAAAACTCCTTCAGCAATGCAGAATCGCTGTGGAAGAGGTTTCACAGTGACTTCTGTGAGCCAGAGAGAAGTTTGATAAGAGGATCCATGTTTACCTCTGAAAGAATTTCCTACCAAGGTCATTGACATAGAGACTATGAAAGAAAGAAGGATAAATAAGAGAAACCTGCAACTGGCTGTTCCATTGATCACTTTGTTTGTCCTTCCTGACCAGTGAGTAAAGTGTCAACTTAGGAGTTTTATAAGAATGTATAAAAAGCATGCATGCTAAAATAAAACCGGGTTTGGAGCCTTCTGAAAATGGAGTGTTGCTGTGGATTGTCTCTGTCTCAACCACGACATGGAGCATTCAGGAGGGGTCTCTACACAGCCTGACACATCCATCCCCTCGTCTCCCGTGCTCCTGCCTGCTCTGCCAGGACTCTGCTCCATGTCCAAGGCTGGGCAGCCTGAGCCCAGCCCATCCTCCTGTGTCCCACAGCTCCAGCACACACCCAGTTCCCAGCTGCTAATCCACTTATCAGGCCACAAAACCCCCATGGAGAACTAGAACTCTTCTCACTAATTAGCTGCAACGGGAGCTTTTCACTCGCTCAGGTTCCAAAGGAAGGAAAAAAGCCCTCCAGGACTGGCTCCGGCTCCAAGTACAGCTGGGGCAAACCTCAAGGCTGAGTTCACAAATTAATTATGGCAATAAAAACGGGCTGGGCCATAAAACACTCCCGAGACGAGGATGGAGGTACCAGCTGTGAGTGACATCTTGCACTTAACAAGGGGAAGAGGCAACCCTCCTGCCCTTACCAGCAGGATGATGAATTGGAGATCATTTACCTCTCACCTGTTCTCTCACTCTCTGATATGAAGCCGATTCCAGTTATGCCTTAACAGAAATTGGCCATATTAAGAGCAATAAAAGCAAAATCTAAATAAAACCAGGTGAAGATTTTCAGCCTAGACAATTAATTATGCTTCCATTTCTCAGAGTGCTACAGGATTAGCTATTAAAGTCAGCAGAGTTAGTAAAGCCAAGTGGGGCTAACAGGGCTCTGCTTGGCCTCAGACACCCTCTAATTGCCAAACTGTCCTCTAGCACAGCAAACCGATTAAAAGCTGTAAAACTGGAACAGGTATTGTGGCATTCATTAAGCAATACCAGCAGCAGCTGCAGCAGGTGGGAGAGGATTCCTGTGCAACTGCTGGATTCTGTGAGATCCACCAGTGGGGCAGGAGCTGTGGGATGCACTGAGCACTGGGACAAACAATTCCCCAGAAGGCAGCTGAACACCATCCACTTTAACCTGGATTTCCTTCCACCTGGCAGGTGGCTACTGGCACAGCCAGCTCCTGGCAGCACAGTTCCAGCTGGAGCTTCCAGGAACCCAGATCCAACCAGCTCTACAGCCTAAATACCCTCTGACCCCACCTAAATACCTTCTGACCCCACCTAAATACCTTCTGACCCTGCCTAAATACCCTCTGACAGCCCCACCAACCCCAGCAGACACACCTGGGCTGGCAGCAGAAGTGTCAGAGGTTGGTGGGGAATCACAGAATCTCCAGGGCTGGAAAAGCCCTCTAGGATCACTGAGTCCAACATTCTCCCAGCACTGCCAAGGCCACCATTCAGTGATGTCCCCAAGTGCCACATCACCTCTCATAGATCCCTCCAGGGACGGTGACTTCACCACTGCCCCGGGCTACCTGTTCCAGCACCTGGCCACTGTTCCAGTGAAGAATTGTTCCCTGATATCCAATCTAAACCTGCCCTGGTGCACGTGAGGCTGATACCTCTCATTCTACCCCTTGTCTCCCACAAGAAGACACTGATTGACACCTGGCCACCACCTTTTTCTCCAGGGAAAAAATTACCTTGAAAGTTACATTCAGCAAACCAAAAGTATCCTTCAGTAGGGAGGCCCAGAGCAGGACAAACCCACCCCTTCTGTTGGTCAGAATGTATTTTTTATGGCTTTCTACTGTTCCCCTACCTCCATTCCACAATTCCTTCTGCCCTTGATGCCTTCATAACAACAGTAATGAATCCTGCCTTCAAAATTACTGTTTCTCTGATTTCCAGGCTGAGCAGCGAGCCTGAAAATCAAGACTCAAAATGCAATGGAAACTTTGGAATTTCCCCACAGCTGATTGGATTTTCTTCCCTCTCCTCCAGGCTATGAAGGTGCAAACAAATTTATTAGAAATTCTCCCATCAGGATATTTTTTCAATTAGATGTTTGCCAGTTATACAGCAGCCAGGTAGAGCAGATAAGTAATGTTCTCTCCCTCTTCTCATTATTGTTTTGCTACAGAATGCACTTCAAAACAATCAACCCCATCATACCAGGTAGATTTATGACAGAAACAGAAGTTTTAATATTTCCCCTTGCTTATGAATGTCTCCTCCCTTTTTTCCTTCACTCTAGCTCCTGTTCCAGACCTGGATATAGCCATTCATCACCCTCCTTACCCCAAAACCCAGCCTGCACTAAATGATGTGGCAGGGATCACTTTCAAGTCCTCATTCAAAAGGAACATCCTCTTGTGCAGTTGTCTTAATCACTTTATAATTTTTGCTTGGTTGCAATTAGTCAATTTTATTATTCTTTGGTTAATAGGAGCAGCCTATTAAACAAATCAGTGGCTGTGGCTGATTCTCTCCTGCATGAAAGGAGCACGAAGCCAGGGAGGGAAGGGAAAAGAAAAGAGGGAAATAAAAAGGGAAGGGGAAGAAAAAGGGGGAAGTCAAAGGGAAAGGGTGAGAGAGAAGGGAAAGTGCCCCAAATTCCACCAAATCTGGAAACAAAGTCAAATGACCACCACTGAACTGCCTTGGCCTGCAGGTGACAAGAGCTCCAGCGCCAAGGCCAGGCAGGATTCCATCTCGTGCCACAGGAGGTGGCTTTGCCTGGCACTGGTGGATAAGGACAGGGGTACTTCCAGCCTCCTTCAGAGAGGGAGCTCCAAGGACATCAGGGTGATGGAGACCAAACCACAACTGCACCCCTCCATGGGACAAACTACTGAGTATTTTGGGTCCAAGCAAAAGACAAAAGTGTGAGAAAACACTGTCTGAAATTCAGTTTTTCATGGAGAATTTAATTAAAAATATAATTCTTTTACTGTAACTCTTCCAGGGGAGCTGCAGCTGGCACTGCTCTATCAGCCCATACACGGAGCTCAATTCAGATGTTGTTGTACAAAGCACTTTTAAATTTTTTTATTGCTTTTCTAGACTCACTTTGGTTCGTTATTTAGCTCTATAGCATTATTTTCAAAACTGTAAATGTGCCCAGAGGTCACACTGTGTTAGCCAGGTGAATATGAAAAAGGAAAACAAATGCAGGCAGCAGGCTGGGACAAACCCCAAAGTGCAGCGGCTGTGGGATCTCCAGCTCTGTGCAAACAGGGAGAACAAATGTTTGCTAACTGGGAAGGGCCCAGTGGAAAGAAACACAACCTCCTGCCAAGATTCCAAGAAGGTGTTACTTTTTCCTGGATGGCACTGCCAGCTTGTACAATTTTATTATGAATCTCATCACATCCATTTAATTTTGTGGGAGCCACGAACTGAGATGGAAACTTCAGCTCTGGATGAAAAAATGGAATCAGAGATTGGTTTGGGTTGGAAGGGACCTTAAAGATCATCCAGTTCAACTCCCCTGACATGTGCAGGGGCACCTTCCAGTAGACCAGAATATGTGGGCAAAATTCATACCAGTAATACCTTCTATGATACCTGCAAGATCTCAAAAGCCTTCCAAATTTTTATTTAATTTTATTTTATGTGTGGTAGGTTCATTGTTTTTTTTTGGCTTGGAGGAGTCTTACCTGAATTTTGGCACTCATTTTTGGCTATACTACACCAGAGCACCTTAACTGCAGGTCAGCTGATGTTCTAGAGCTGGAAAAGGCGTCCTGTTAATAATAATCCAGCAGTAATTAAGAGCTATCACCATCAAGGAGCTACTAAATGAGAAGTTAAGAACAAATTGGATGCCTCCAGTGGTTCCTACTGCTCAGAGCTATAAACATTTGCCTCTGGTTTGCCTCCAGGTACCAGGACAGAGGAGATGGGCAGTGGGTTCCCTCTCATGACAACCTCATTTCCAAACTGGGTGCACTGGGGATGTCACATTTCACTGCAGGTTCTTGGAATGCATCTGGGCTTGTTTCCCAGCAAGCTACAGTTCAGCTACCACCAGCAGCAAGACAGAGAAACCTTGTGAGGGCTGCCCTAGAGCAGAGGCTGGACAGAGCTAAAGAATAAAGTAGGGATTTATCTAAAACCTGAGACATCAGACCCAAAGAAATGCCATGCAAGGAATGCCTTTAGGTTTTTAGTGATTAAAAGTTAGGACCCAAGAAAACTTGTGTAACACAGTTAATTTGTATTTAATACTCCTCAAAAACAAACAAAAAAATCTGAGCCCATGTTTTAGTGGGCTTCACTCAGCTGCTTCCAACGGCAGCATTCCCACCACAGGGAAACATAACTCTTCTTTAGAAAATGTTACAGGAACGGTTTTATCCACAATTCATTTTTATCAATATTACTTGAGTGGCACATTCTGC